TGTTGTCTCTAGTCTTGTAATATGCTCTATTCCCATGTTTTAGTTTCTTCTTCTGTTTGTACTCTTGTTATAATTTGATTATTACCCGTACCTGTTCCTTGCTGCCCTTAGTCTCCTTTGTGTGGTTGATGGTAAAAGGCCCACATCTGTAGTTCGTCTTACACTCATTATCCATGTATATGTGCTTGTCCTTGTTCCTCAGATGGTCACTGTGTGGTTGTTACTGTATGTTAGTAACTGTGGTAGTTTCCCATGTTTGCTGTGATTGTACTTGTGCTGCTCCTTGCCTTAGTTATTGTCTCTATGTTTTCTGGTTTCTCTTTGTTCTGTTTTGTGTAATAAAACCCCATTGAGCCACTATGTGTCTCATCCCTCCTTCATCATACCCCATCAAAACATCCACCCTTACCATTGGGGGTGCTAAGCATCATCACTGCCAATTCACACTTGGCATGATACCGTGAGGTGGAGAGCTTGATGGAAGAGGCCAAAAATGCAACATCACCTGAAAGTAGCAGGGTTGTCATTTCTAATCCCTCCATATTGGACATCTTTCCAGTCATGGCTGAAACTTCATATCCATTCCATGAAAATCAAACCAGAGTGGAGACATGATGCAGGCCAACATCCATGCAAAATGCCTTTGATTATGTGTAGACATGATTCTTACTGTGTTCATACAGGGACCAAATAACAGTGGTTCTGGTGCAGAACCAATGACAGTACATTCCAGGGTATGCGGTCAAAAGTCTTATTCAAGTACGATGTTGGTGCATTGTATTCAGTGAGAAGGAAAATGGTGCTTTGTTTGGCATCTAGTCGAAAATTTTAATTGATCTTCTTGAATCCCAGGTTTGATCATTGGGTGGAATTTCCTCTTCCAGAGAGGCTAAGTGTCAACTTAGTAGTAGTATAATCCTGCTGTCCAAGCAATTTTGAAGTGGCAGGTCAACTATGTCGCTCCAACAGATGCATCTATATATTACCTATTTCAGCTGCAGTGACAGATTCTGACAGAAGTTTCCATAACTGCCACCTGGTGAGAGGTGATAGCCCTCAGGTTATAGAATTCCCCAGATGTCCTCGGAAGTTAGCCAGTTCCCCATCCCCGATGAACACCTTTCCCAAGCAAAGTCCCACCTTCCCCTCACGCTGAGGTGTTTGCCAAAGCCTCTCTATAGGCTCTTCAAACGTCTCCCATGCTTGAGCCTTCAGCTTCCTGACTGCCTTTGTTGTAGGAGGCCATTCTTCCAAAATCACACCTCTCCAGGATTTTTTATTGTTCCCCTCATGAGCATTGAAGACTCGCAGTAGGACCACAGAGTGTATAGGTGGTATTCTTCTGAGCAACTCAGCCATTTTCTCTATGAAGGCTGGGTAGTCTGAACTGATGTGTGGTGCATACACAGAAACAGCAGTCAACTCACAATCCAAAAAAGGCAACCCTTTTGTCCACCAGGAAAAACTAGCTACACTACCCTCAGCCGCGGATTTGTGAGTGTCCCCACGCCTGCCAGCAGTCTTTCACTTTGGGGAACTCCAGAGTCGGAGGGACTCCACCCTTGATCAAGAGGCCTGGTTTCAGAGCCCACACTGTGCATGGAGGTAAGGCTGACTATATTTCGCTGATACCTTTCTGTCTCCTTTAACAGCTCAGCCTCCTTCCCCACCAGAGAGGTATAATGTTCCACATTCCCAAAGCTATTGTCTGTTGCCGTGGTCTTATACACCCGAGTCCTTCCCCTTTAAGCATGCTGCTGAACAGGCACTGCATCTGACCCCAATATCCCATGTTGCAGGTAGTGAGCCCATAAGTAGCCATTTTGGGACATTGTAATAGGCATGTAAACATGCTAAGATCACAGTCCTCAGATGGGTTTCACACAATTCAGTGTCAAGAATTTACAGAGAATGGTGTTAATCAAAAAGGTCAGAGGAGAATGGCCAGACTATTTAAAGCTACTAGGAAGGTCAAAAGTACAACAGTGGTGTATGGAAGGGCTAGCACAACTGAATGCTCAACTTGTCTACTCTTGAAGGACATCTGAAGGCAAAATGTACTACCCTGGCACTGGGAATGTAATAGCCTGTGCTAGCTAGATGTAACTAATCAGTGGCCACTGACTGGATTTTCACAAAACACAGTAAATGCTGTAAAAGCATTGTTTTTTTTTCCCCTGTATGTGTGATGATGGGCTGCATGGTGCTGTGGTGGTTAGCACTGTAGCCTCACACCACTGGGACCAGGGTTTGAGTGTCCGCCATGGCTCCATGTGTTGCATATTTTCCCTACATCATTGTGGGTTTTCTCTGCATATTCCGGTTTCCCCTCCACAGTCAATAAATATGCTGAAGTTAATTGGAGTTACCAAATTGCCTGTAGGTGTAAATGGTGTCTGAGTAAATGGTGTGTGAGTGTGCCCTACAATTGGTTGGTGCCCCATCATGAGTTATTCCCTGCCTTGTACTTGTAGCCCCAGGGACAGGCTTTGGACCCCCCCTGTGACCCTGAATAGGACAAGCAAGAACAGAAAATGGATTAATATAAATGATGCCCTCATCTGCTTTCTGTTAGACTATAAAACATGGAAAACCGATGGCCACGGTTTCATTATGGTTTGAATCAGCATTTTGTAGTTCAGGGTTATCCAGTGGCTCAGTTGGTGGCACTGCTGCCTCACACCTACAGATTCGAGTTCTACCCTTGTTCTGTGTCTGGAGGCTGTATATTCTGGCATTCTCTCCAGGGATGTCCTTGTGCCTTATGCTCTAAGCTGCCTGGGTCCCCCATAACACTGTACTGAATAAGGGGTTGGGCAATGGATGGCTTCAGCAGTTCAGGCACATAAAAACACTTGCCCAAATCAAACTAGGGTCCTGCTCCTCTAATATGTACGAACAATATGCTTGATTAATTGTATCATAAAAGAACCATTTGATTCTGTGCATTGTTTACTGTAGTTTCAGGAGGCATTGAAATGCCCTTTCGTCTTACATTGCACACTGTGGTAAACTCCGGTCACAGCAGATGATTCTGCTCATGCAGGAAGATGTTCTCCTGCACACCTACACACCTACAGAGCATAAAATACACAGTACATCTGTATGCCAAGAGGAGCCGTCACAGACAGCGTCTCTCACCATGGGTACATCTCACTGCATGGCTAATATCCTTGGCAGATCAGCTTAATGAAAGTCGTGAGACTAGAATGGCTAGAAATTTCTGGGATGCATTATAATATAAATAGCTGACTTTTAGGTAACTGGTCAGGTTGTCACTAACTTAATGAACCTTTTGTATTGTCCTGTAACAAGGACACCATTCATATAACTGAAGCTCAAAGGATTTATGAGCAGTGCCGATAAACTTCAAAATACTACAAAGTTTAGTATCTTGTTTTAATTTAATGAGAATATTCAGTTTGCGAATTTAGTCCTTATTCCCGATCCCAGCATTTGACTTGACACTCCACAACAGCATCATTGCCGGTAAATGAATCAGTAACTATAATCACTTTTTTTCATTCACTTTTGATGCATTCTTACATTGGCTATTTCCTGCAAGCTGTCCTGTGTTTAGCAACATCACACAAGCACACATAACATGATGAGACGTTACCGGCTAAAATGGCGATGGTTTTCCCTCTGTGTCCTCAGAGTACTTGTGAATAGATCCATCTGCTGCTAATACAGTGGCATCGTGTTGGCTGGGAACACCGCGTTCCTATTTTTTTCTCTGCCTCGATACAAGTCTGCACAATGTCTGTACATCTCCATGGCAACCACCGTTGCTGCAGTCTGGGCCCGAAAGGTCTAAGCAGCCAGACAAAGTGATAGACTGAAATTGTGTAATCATGTGGAACACATTCTTAAGTTGGAGCTTCTTTCTTAAACTTAAGGTGAAAGGAAATAACATTTCAAAAGTTTACGTAATACTTAGGTCCTTGTAGCCGTATTAGTATCTTTTATAGCTGCTGTCATTTACATAATGCATAGAAACAGAGAAGAAAGTTCCTTTGGAATCCTAAATAGCACAAGAGCTTTGAATTCTGTCAAAGGTATAACTGAGTCTTGATAAGGATTTATGAAGCAGAACTTCCTGGAAATTGTATTTAAAGGGAAGAAAGCACTTGCTTTAACTAGTATAAGTTCAAAAAGACACATTATAATTCTGTAATTCTGAAGGTATAAAGGGTTAGTATGTGGCTCGGTGAGTTAGGACACTGTACCCATGATTGGAAGGCTGCCAGTTCAAATTGCAGGGCATGCAGACCGACACCATCGTTGGCCCCCTGAGTAAAGCCCCTAACCCCCAGCTCCAGGGGCACTGCACACTGGCTGGTCCTGAGCTGTGACCCCCAAGCTTGCTCTCACCTTTATGTATGTTTCATAGGGAAAAGACCTTTTATACCATTTTCATAGGGAAAATTTTGCCATGAGGATCAATAAAGGTTCTCTATTTCATGAGCAATGCAATATTGTATGTGTGGAAAGCTGAACTTCTTCCATGGATTATTTATTAAAAGTCCCAAAATATTTTTCTTTTACTGGGCAGTATCTAGTAATAATACACTGGCTGTTGATTGGAATATTGCCATGGTAAATCAAGAGATGGCATATTACAATGCATCATGCATACTGAGATCATGCTTGAAAAAATCTCTGGACTTTACCCAAAATAGCTGTAACACTTCAAAGCTGTAGGATTTTTCAGAGGTGGAACCAATTTGGAGGAAAATCCAAGTAGCAACAATAGAACAGCAGGGGCTTAACAGTAATGCTGGATTCCTATTACTGTACAGTACCTTCCCTTCCATAAAAAACAAAAAATTGAAGAAGTGGATAATAGTAATAATAATAATAATAATAATAAAAATGCATGCATTCATGCTTGTTACTAAAAATCCATCACATATTTCCATTCTAATTGTAATTTATATGAATGTAAATCAGGGCTCAGCTAAAGATTCTGACTATATGAAAACCACTCACAATACATGTAGAAAAGCAATTTAAATACATTTATTCATAACTTTCAAAATATTTGAAAAAGTGGTATGTTTTTCATATATGACACTGACTTAAGATAGAAACATAAATCATCAAACCAGCCAGTGAGATTTTTGTTCAGAATTACAAATACTTCAGGTCAATAATCGGCTCTCTAAGCTTATTCTGACACCTACTGGTACTTCTGCAGTGATCATTTGTCACTAAAAACCAGCACTTAAAACTTAGGAATACAGAGTATATTACTTCCTGTATTTATGATTGTTCATTTTGCATATATTTGCATATATCTTGCACATTATTTATGCAATTTTAATTTTCAATATATTGTAATCATCAAAATTTTTAATCAGATAAAATGTTATACAATTATAAATAATTAAGATATGCAAATCATAAGCACAGTCATTCGCATATGTGAATGTCAATAGGACGGCTTGTAGCACAGCATTCATACAGTACAATCAATCCTCTGATTGATATGAACTCATTGGATCATTCTTTATACAGCTTCATCAGCTTCATTCTCCTAGGTCAGGTCATGTGGCATGTTCACATTTGCAAACTGATCTTCAGTTCCCTCCTGTTTCTGGCTGATACCTTCGGTCCTTATGTTATCCAGTAGCAGGTTCATCTCCACAAGTTCTGGCTGCACTGTGATCCATACATGGATTTTCCTCTAGTGCTTGGTCTGCACCCAACAGTATTGCATTTTCTCTCCCCTTGTGCAACTTCTGCTGTAGCTCTACATTATTCATAGCTTTTCTCATTTCCCTGAAATACCTGAGGTTCTTCTCTGGGTATGATACTTTTGAAAGGGGTAGTCTGTGTATGGTTTGGGTTTCTATAGTAACCAACAGGAAGGTGAGGGCCGAGAGACAGAAAGGCCAGGTGTAGGCAGGCAACCCAAACTGTTAACAAAGACAACAGAATGGACAGGATGCACAGACAAGAGTTACACTTACAATTACAAAACATATATATACCAATACCTCTTCAAGATCATATGCTGAAAATGTACTTCATTGATAATAAGATTATTATATTATTATTATGACATAATAACAGTGATCTGTCCTTAGCTAAGATTAATTTCTTTTTATTAGCTTTTAATGATGATTCCTTTCAATTTTCTATTGTCTTTTTTATTTTAATTTAATTTATTTTATTTATGCCTTTTATAAAGTAATACTTGATTGTATTCTTTGAGTCGCTTGTCCTTATAAAGTTTGCCTGTTTGACCATTTAACACTATCTGCCTGCCTTTTTGTTTCATTTAATACTGTTTTGATTTTATTGGTTTTTATTTCAATTAATTTTTATAGTTCAATCTTTCTATTCCTTGATCTATCCTTCATTGTGTGATACTTTGGTCAGTCAACGTATTTGACTTTGAAAATGAGCTATAAAAATAAACAGATTAATTGATTGTTTGATTGTAAACACTGAAGAATGAGTTTTTAAGAGCAGAACCAAGAAACACTGAGCTAGTTAGAAACACCTATAAGAAGCCGCATTTCCCTAAATGTATTATTATGCTGCTTATTTCAATCTGCTTGGTGCAGAATATTTCACTGTAAAATAATTACAATATTATTGCACAGGAATGTGCATGTCCCCTGTTCATTAACTGTTATACATAAAGTTAGTCATGCAAAGTAAAATTCCAGCACACCACTTTAACATTGTGCAATAACTTTGTCTCTGAATTAATGTAAAATCTCAGAGTGTGTTCACAGCTGTGCAAAAATGACAAATGTTGGAAGTTTAATTCCTATGTCTTTTGTTTAGAAATATTAAAGTGCAATTTTAAAAACAGCGAGTTTGGCACTTATGCTGAGCTGGTCACTGCACGCCCAGATTCCCTCCTCCACACAGTATGTGTCACAATAGACTTTAGCATATTTGTACAGTAGAGATATGCTCATGTATAAGCCACCCGTCTATGATAACCCTCAACACATCACACCCTGATGCCACTGAACCAAATAAAATATACTTACTGTAGACATGACATTTGCAATGGCCAATCCCAGGTATGCACAAAAAAATGCTGAGAAACAAAACAATATGGATTAGTATTATTTCTTTTGTTCACCCTTATAATAATTTTGCTCAATGCCATATACAGCCTTAAAGCAAAACTAATCAAACAATGGGAGAGAATGGGGGAGACTGACCACATGCAATGGCCAGGAGGTGGCTGTGCCAGGTCAGCACGTAGAACACGCCTCCAACAGCAATGCAGGCCAGAGCACTGTTGTAGCCCCAGAGACCAGAGTATATGTCCTCAAAAGGTGCAGCAAGAGCAAGGCCTAAATAACATTTTAAGAGACAATTTTGGCATGTCACCTGTCTTTGAGTCTGGCATGGCATTGAGTCTAAATGTACAAGTGACAAGAATAAAATGTCATCAAATAATTAATTATGGTAAGAAGCTACTACCATATAGGTGTCTCATTGGTCAACACAACTGTCTCACCCCTCCAGAGTTGGGGGTTCAATCCATGCCCTGTATGTGACTTGATGCATCTAGATTTACCACAATGTGAAAGTGTATTCCCTGTGATGGACTGGCATCCAGGACATCCCCTGCCTTATTCCCTGGGATAGATACTTGGCATATGCTCCAGGGTCATTGTGAACCTCTACTGCAGGGGTGCCCAACTCCAGTCCTGGGGGGGCCAGAGCCCTGTGTAGCTTAGTTCTTCCCCTGTTCCACCATAAATGATTCAGCTCAAGAGTTGTGTGGTAATTAGCACAAGGAGTTGAATCAGGTGTGTTAAATGAGGGGAAACCAGGATTGGAGTCGGGCACCTCTGCTCTACTGGATAAGCAGATTTGGAAGATGGTTTGTTTCTATATGCAGCTGAGAAGTGGGTGTTCATCTACATCATTACCAGTTTTCTGGAAACAGGTGTCATAATGTGTCTTTTTTGGGGACTGATTCTGATTGTGTGTTAAATGAGAGATTTCAGAATAATCTTCCAATTTCAACATAAAATTGATTAAAAACATAAATATGGCTATTAACTCATTATCAAATGATCAAAATCACACAATATACTTGAATGAAAATCATTATAATAAGGGAACATTTTCTTTTGAAAGGAATTCATACAAATGAGTTTTAATTCCTTACCTGACACCATGCCAATGGCTGAACCAATAACTGCATGCAAACATATGATTGGAGACGAAATAAACAATGCAAAGGTGATAATCCCTCCTGTCCATGGACTGTCACATCCATACACTTGTCCAATACCAACAGGAACTGCACGGAAAAGCTAAATAAAGGATGTCAGTGAGCATTATTGCAACCCTGCTGTGAAATATCTATGCCATTTTAAGAGTATCAAGTGGAAAATAGTCAGGTTTCTGTCTTATTGTACAAAAGAATCTCTCCTGATTTCACCTATAAAACAAAATGTCTTTCTGTTGAAAACTTGACAGCTGGACCTAATTTAATTTAATTCGAATATGACCGACATACAAGGACCATACTTAGCCAGAAAAAAAAAATTACCAGAGCTACATCCACATTGGACAAGTTGGTGTTGTGGAGAGAGAATCTGGGTTCAATTAGAACCTGGGGGAAATAATTATTATAGGGACCAACTGCCACTTTGTGGATACAGACCAAGATGTTGAATGGCAATGTAAAAACTGGGAGGTCCCATCTGCTGTTAACTGAACCCAAGGCACTGGAAAGAACTGGGCTGTTAAAAAGAAAATATGAATGGCTGGTAAGTGTAATTTAGGAAAATAAAGTTTAGTCATGCACAATGTCAAGCTGATTTCTACATCAAATGAGAACGATTCCAATGTAATATAAAACAGAGAAAATGGATCATCTATTTCTTTAGAATTAGAGGAGCAGTATGAATATTATCATATTAACAGTTTTATTCTCAAAGGAATGAACTTGCATTGTGAAACCAAAATGTGGATCATCCGCTGTACATGAAATCCGCTGTACATATTTTAATATTACTTATAACTCAAGGCTCCAGTAAGAACATATATTTGTCAATACAAACACTCACCATGCCATTGACATGAAGATATTTGGAAATAACAGAAACCAGTACCAATCTCCTTTTTCTGAAAAGACTGCTATTAAAAGACCGACCAGGATCCCATTATAACCATGCAAACCAGAAGATATAGCCTCCCTGAAACAGAAATTACATAAAAGCCACCGTAATTTACATATATTCCTTTTCTCTTATACAGTATAAAAAAATTATAGCACTTTTAGATTTAGAAGTTAATTTTTATATCCATCCATCTTCCAACAACTCTGAAAAAGTGTCAGGGGGGGAGGGTTGGGCTGGAGTCTAGCCCAGGCAACACAGAGCAGAGGATGGGGTACACCCTGGATGGGATGGCAGTCTATTGCAGGGTACATATACAATACAGCCAATTTAGACACATACAGTACCAGTCAAACACTTGGACATTCCAAGCCGCCTACAAAGGAGGGTGATAGGCTGTGTCTGAATTCAGGGGCTGTATCCTTCTGAGGCTGCGTTCGACGACCGAATGTGTCACAGCGACGCGACAAGGCTGTCCCATTTCAAAGGCTCCATCAAATGCGATCTAGAAATGCATCCCTCCTTTCCTGCTCTGTGAAGGATGCAGCCCAACATATCCCAAGATTCACTGCGCAGAGGTAAAGTGGGCGTGTCCCATCTAGGTGACAGGAACTGTGCTTTGTGACTCAAGGGTAATGATGGGAAGATCTGCTGATGCAAATAGGAAATTATTTGTAGGCCAGACCATCCCATTTGACAACGCTTTCTGTTCGACCTTTGAAGGATGCAGCCCCTGAATTCAGACACAGCCACAGAGTGTCAAATCACATGACCTGGGTACCTGACCTAAACACAGTAGAAATGGTTTTGGAGGAGTTTCACCTGAGAGTGGCCAATGAGTGGGACCTATTTCAGGAAAAGCATCCCAGGAGGCCACCTTAGAACCCTGGTGCACAGGAGAAAGTAGGGTCAGTCAGTCCTGGGAGCAATTGGGGTTAAGGGCCTTGCTCAAGGGCCCAATGGTGGGATCACTCTGTTGATCCAGGGGTTTGAAGTGGCAACCTTCTGAGTCACAACCCACAGAGCTGCCCCCGACAAATATTTTTTTTTGTTTAATGCTTTCATAGCCAGTGCATAGTTCCATATATGTTGTTTTATAATTTTGATATTTTTATAATTATTCTAAAATTAGAATACAATAAAATCCTGTTATAGTGAACTCGCTTATAACAGAATATCGTCTATAACGGACGAGGGCCACTGGTCCCGGCCGTACGCCTTTAAGAACATGCAGAAAAAGCATCAGATATAGCGGACTCGCATATAACGGAATTTCGCTTATAACGGACAAACAATTTGGTCCCCAAGGCCGCATTTAGCTGTAGTTTTGTTCGGCTATAACAGACATGCAGCTCCGCCTACAAGGCGCGTGGCGTGCCGGTGAAATCCAGCGCAGATACGGAGTCGGGATTATTAATAGTCATGCATCTGATCAGGTAAAGTTGGATTACTACATGTACAATATAATAATCTATACCACAAGTGTGTCTGCTGAGGTGTGGAATGAGTAACTGGTGTCCTGTAGTTGTGTTCTGGGCATAAAGCAACTCTGGATATAACAGACTTTGGATATAATGGACTTTGAATATAACGGACTGTTCTGCCAGGTCCCTTGAAGTCCGTTACAACTGGATTTTACTGTAATATAAATAAACCATTCTATAGGTAGGTTTGTTCAAACATTTGACTGGTACTGTATGTTACCCTTACTGCAGGTCTTTAGACTGCAGCAGAATCCTGGAAAATCTGCAGGAAATCCAAATGAAAGAGAAGGAACATTCAATCTCTGCACACAAGACACAAAAGTGGGCACTGAACCACCAACCTACTGGAACAACTGGTAGTCTATTTGCATGATCATTACATATTATTTAACACATATTTTATCATGATTCCTTTCTTCTAACCATGATTTTCTTTCTTCCAAAAAGTTTCAAATCTGGCAGAAGGGTCCCTTATAAGAGCATTTGGAGGTATAAACAATCTTGGTGGGGGGGGGGCTCAGTTACAATGTTTTATAACTCTGGTTTACTAGGAGTGAAAAAACACCCGTGCTTCAGTGGGAATACGTACCTGCTTTGTCTGAGAATGATGGCAGACAGAGTGGCAAACAGATTGCCGAAGAAACCATTGAATGCCCACCATGTATTCTGCAGAACCAACCCCCCGAAGATAATGAGCCCACTGAGAGGGTTATTAATGAACATAACCTGACTGGCCCCACGAAGAACCCAATCCAGAATCTGAAAAAGGATAAACTGCCCTTCAAGTTAAAACAAGAGCACATTATATAGATGAATGACGAGTTCTGAGCATGTGACAGATGAGGAAATCATCCATTCATACATTCATCCATTGATTATTCATTCATCCTCTTTTAATTGAATAATGTGTGTGTGTGTGTGTGTGTGTGTGTATATATATGACACACATGCCACGTTTAATGAAATGTCTTAAATTCAGCTCAGATATTAGATGGTCTCTCACTTTTCATCCATCCTCCAAAAGCCTCCATGTCTCCAGTTATGTACGATGCCCATCTGGAAAGGTGAGCCCTTATTCTCTGCAGCAGGCTGAGGTTCTCCAGCTGCTCATTCATTCTTACTGGCTGCTTCTTCTAGTTCGGCTGAGGTAACTGGCCTGCCGACGACACCCCTGCAAAAAAGGTGTGTTAAAGCCATCTGGGGTATTGGTGCTTTCTGCATTTGTCAAATATATTTATACCATTTATTTAAAGGTAATCAAATACAAAAATGAAAAGTCATTGGTAAGTTTTCATTTCTTATTTTAATAATTTTAATTTTAGGGAAACACTTTGCCTAGGGGGCACAAATAATGTAGTAGTACATGCTCATTCAAGGTATTAATAACCAGAAACTAAGTGTTAGTTGTGTACTGATAACATGTTCATTCATCATTACTCAATGATGACAGTTCATGTATTTCATGTAGGAACTATAAAAGCTCATTTGTACTTTAGTAACTGAATTACTAAGTTACTTGTGCCCCCTCAAGTAAAGTGTAACTCATTTTAGTTTACCAAAGGCAACACCACAAAATCAATAAATCAATTCCATAAGAAAATGATGCATAAAATAAAAACATAGTTTAAGACATTTTAAATGGAAAAAAACAGATACTAAATAGAAAATACAAAGCACTGGCAAATCACTGGGTATTCACCATAAATATTTCATCATAAAGATTTTGTTTTTGTTGATCTATTTCTGTTCTATTGTCACTTATTGTTTATATTAGGAAGGCAAGTACTGAACAGCTGCCAAACAGGAATAGTTACTTTCCTGTCTGGAGTACACACTGTTCTCTTCTTGGTCCTAAATTTTGCATCCATTAAAAACTTCTTTTTTTAAACAAAGGAAATGTCATTAAATGTATGTGTAATTTCTCCAGGGATTTAAGCTGATTACAACTATAAGGAATATAATGGTTCATTTGCCAATCTTACCTTAAAGTCTATGCATGATAATTATTCAGATGTCACAGACTTTGATGAAGTTTGTGCTAAGGTCAAGAATGCCCTTAGCATTAAAATAAAAGCATGTTACTGGTTAATGATTTCAGTTGTACATGTGAAGTTCTTTAATGCACCCCATGAAAAGTCAGAGAACAGTGATCATTTTTAGTATATATTATGGAAGAAACATGATTTTTCTTGACTGTTATCAGAGAAAAACAAAAATCAGGCTATTTATGTACAATTTGGGAGAAGTGAAATCTATTAAAAAATAACATTCAGATTTTGAGATATTGTGACCTCATATTAAAATGAGACTTGATTCAATCTCTCATGATATTCCACATTCCTCCTGGAAATTACAACTCCATAACCCTCAAACAAACCTTTTTGTTAAAAAAAAAAAAAAAACTATTCATACATTAATCTGGAATTACTCTGGGTCAGGCTAAAATTGTTAAATAAGGCTATCCTTCATGTTTTATTAATTTCAGTTTAAAGTTTCAAGTCATACATTTCTGTCACCTGAAACACCACAAAATGTTCTGCAAACCATACAGGTAGTGTAAATCAAAATTTTCTCTTGTCCTGGCAAATACAAACATGAGATTAAAGATAACTTGAAAGCAGACATGGTATGATTATCTTTTTATATAATAGACAGCACAATAAATTGACAAAGCAGAAAAAAAATACTTTAAAACAGAGTTAATTCTTGTTCAATGTCACAAAGCAGTGAGAGCCTGAGAAAATCACTATGTGATGTTTTCAGGTTTACCACCAGAGACCACTGCAGTACCATCTTAAAAAATTGTAGGCTTGTATACACATTCCTGTGATACACTTTTAGTGTCTGTATGAAAAAACATTATTCAGTGATGTTTGTGGTGTACATATACACCTTTATATTGTGTTACTGTGGGGGTGGTGAGTGGTTATGAGAGTTACAACATGTGGTCAGATGGTCACTAGTTCAGATTCCATGACTGCTAGAGCCATTTCAGCACCGTGCCTGTGTACAAGGCCCACAAGCCCATAAGCTCCAGGGACTGGCTGACCTTGCTATCTCACTCTCACCTTTGGACAAAATATCAGCTAAATATAATAAATGCATATAAACGAAAATGTGAACTTGGATGTTAGACTAATAAGACTAATCACTAAGAACACAGCAACAGTATTACTATCAAAATCTCAGTTTTGGTTACAGGTTAATTTTGGGTGTAGGAAAACAGACACAAAAAGCATTTTCTCATTTAAATATAAGCAAAGCTGAAGGATGTGTGTTAAACATTTCAAGTAGTTCCTCTCCTTTACAACATAAATATAACATTATAGCAAATTTAAAAAAATAATTATTGAAATGACATTTTGAAATGCAAAGGAAAATGTCAGTGAATAAGATTTCAGGCTCAAAATATTGTGCATAGTGCATAAATATTAGTGCTGCTTCGAAATGTTGGGAATCTGACGCATCAATCTAATGGAGACAGTATAACGTTTTTATTCAAGGTTCCATAAAATAAACATACTTTTTCAGTTATGATTAATCTTAAGGTAATGTAAATAAAAAAAATATTACTAGTAAACAATAAAAACAAAAAATATCACATCGCTCCACTCCAACTAATTATCCATGAAGATGAACAAATTAACATGTAGCACATACAATAGATCCAACTGGGTTTGTTTTCGAGGCTATAGTGAGGACTTGAGAATGCAACCTTATAGGAATTCGCATGAAAAAGTGTCTTAATGCGTTAAAATCACTAATTTAAGAAGGGTTGCATTAATTATGATCGGGGTAATAGCTGTCTTGAAGTTCATTATTCAGTTGCAGAATGAAAAAAGCAGCCTTAAACACTTCAAAAATGTACCAATAAAAACTCACACGAATTAACCTGGAGCAGTTCTGAAGAAGCCCGTTAACTCCAGAAGATTCCACCGAACTTGAGGTGTCCGTTTCCGATAATGATATGTAGTAAAACTCACTGTGGGTGTTTTACACCAGGCCCAAAAGTACAGTTTGTGACGATTAATACTATCCAGAACTCTCAATAAGTATTTAGATTCATTTCGCACTTGCTTTCGTACTAGCAAGTGCTAGCCGATACCCTAGGCAGAAGAACCGTGTGATTGGGTCGCTATTCTGTCCGTCTCATCCGTTAAGGCCAATTAAAGACCAGGAGGCGTATCGTTCTTCCTTTTTTGAAGTTCTTTAGCGACCTCAGAGCTCATGTTTTTCTAGCTACTGCAAACACAGAATGTACAGGGGTTTTGTGGCAGGGAATACCTGTTACAAATGTTTAAAGTAGTTTTCTCTTCATTGATTGAAATAATTCATAACAACAACGTCTATAATAAAAAGTTACAGCCCTTTCTAACACGACTTACAGAATTATACCATATGACAGAATTTTTTGATTTACTGGCCTTTGCTTTAATAGTAGGGTGTCAATCACATAGCAATAAAGTAGCAGATGTATAGTTGAAAATGGCTATATAATTTAGTGTTCTCACCTGAGACACTGGTTAAATATTAATTAATTAATGGCTGGGTAGAGGTCTATTAAATTGTTGATCATTATAAAAATAGAGAAATGGGTGGCACGATGGTTCAGTGTGTATAACTGTCGCTTCACCTTGAAATATGGCAATTACTGTTTGTGTGTGGAATTTGCATGTTAATCCTGTGATGTGTGGCTCGCAGTGTTAGTTCTTGTATCCGTGGTCAGTAGGTTGCCAGTTTAAATTCTGTGGGCGGCAGAATGATGTCACCATTATGCCTTTGAGCAAGGCCGCTAGCTCCAGTCGCTCCAGTGGTGCTGGATGCCAGCTGGCTTGCTCTCTAACCCCGAAACTTTCTCTTATCATCACATACATCTGTGGGTCTCACAGAGAGCAATTTCCCCACAGGGATGAATAAAGTATTACTATTTTTACATTATTATGTCTTGCTTCTAAAGCCCAAAGCCAAAAAGTTAGGCTAATTGGACTCTCCAAATCACCCATAAATTGCTACAGGTCCCCTGCAAATCTGATGTCTTGTCACAATTTTATTCTAATTGTAGCACAAATGCAATCTTCCTTATTGTCGCTGCTGATAAAATGACATGAAACACACAACATAGGATATGACTGGCAGTACCTAAATTAATTTCTTTAAAAAGCACATTTAACTGTAATATACTATGGAGGCGGGAAACACCAGTATGTTTGTAAAATAGGTCAAATAGAATTTTACATACTTTCTTCATGCAGCCACTGAATAATTTTTCAGTTGTCATAGGTTGGCTCGCTCACCCTTGATCTTGTCATTTTGATCCTCTACTGTCTTCTTTATAATATATAACATGACAAGACTGGCAGCAGAATCTTCAGAGAAATTCTAAAATTGACTTACATTGATGTTGGTGACAGTAGGGAGTAGAGGTTTTTTAGGCAGGGGAAATAGCTGAAGGTATCAGTGAAAATCACAAAATATGTCACATTCATTTTGTGTTAACACTTTAAAAGTTCATTAACATTAGTGAAAAGAAGTAAACTAAATTATTTTCCATGACAGTGTGTGAGTGCGCCCTGCAATGGGTTGGAGCCCCGCCCTGGGTTGTTCCCCACCTTGTGCCTGTAGTCTCCAGGATAGGGTTCAGACTGCCCACTACCCTGAATAGGATAGGGTTCAGACTGCCCACGACCCTGAATAGGATAAGCGGTTTCAGAAAATGGATGGATGGACAGAATTTTCCATGACATTAATAATACAAAAAAATCCCATGTAATAGATAATTGTGGTTTATTTGATACTTTGATACTGATGCTCTAGTCTGGAGGAATCTGAATACATTCTGAAAGCATCTACAATGAAATGTTTTAATTACTTGTCAGTAAATCCAGACAGCAGAGGGTACAAAGCTAGGGTACATTCTGAATGGGATGAAAA